TTGTGCCTCCACAGTCGCTCGCAGAAATGTGTTACATGCGGTGTAATTTATTGTGGCGTTCATTTGTCCAATGGCCGCAAAATCTCCAGAGATTAATGCGGGATCATTTATCCAAGGCATACATCCCACTCGTCGACGAGAACGCCATCACGTTCAGGAGCGTGCGAAAAGGAAGCGGTCGACGTACTCCTCCCTTCGACATTACTGTAAGGTCGAAAAGCTGACGGCCATCGTGAACAACTTTCCATAGCGTTTGATGTCCACCGTCGGCTGAGATACAGGCTATTTTGAAAATATCCTTATAATATATTGGTGCCATACATGTTTCCTATGTTTGATAACATTTTGATGGAATTGGAATAAAATACAGCAAAATTATAACCAAAAATATCGTGGCAAGAACATTTTACGCACCCTGTATATAAATGACGTCTGTGCGACGTTGCCGCAACGTCACGTGTCGCTTGGGATTTGAATACTTCTTCCTGCAACAGCCGGAAAATTTCGGATAGATCTCGTCTGAACCATATCAATTTACTCGTTCAACTGAAAGTGCTATTCTCACGATCCTCCACTACATCGGCTAAGAATTGAACGAACCTCTACAGCGAATAGTACGCAGCTCATTCCTAGACTATAGATTCTATATATAGATTCAACTGCATCGATAAGCAAAAACTTCTGATTCGCATTGTAGAAATGAGGATACCACAATGACATCTGCGGTCGACTACCAGTGATGGAAAAGCCTCACACATGTTTGTGTCTCGAAGTGATGTATTACAGGACGGTGAATTGTCGCCGTTACTTTTTACTTTTACACCGGCTACCTCCGAGTTGTGAATCCCAATTCACATGTTGTCAAATATGCCGATGACACAGTTCCTCTCAGTGCCGTCAAGAGCAAGGAGAACAACTATGAAGAAGACATCGAGCACCTAGTGCGATGGTCGAAAGCACAGAACCTCATCCTAAATCCAGACCAGTGTCAAAAGTAGAGTTTTCAAATAAGAGTTAAAAAAAACCCTCTTTTGGTTGGACTGAAGAATTGACAAGTTCGTGTCGATGAGACGGTTATCTCAGCAACTAACTCGGTCAAGTACCTCAGAATTTAAATTAACAATGAATTATGCTTCAAGAATCAAACCGAGCAGATCTTTCAAAAATGCTACAAAAAAAACCTATATGGCTATGAATGCAGGTCTCTCCATCCCTCATTCAACTTCCTTCGTCCGCCTCTTCATAGACGCTTGCATCATCTCTTGCCTGCGTTACGCCCTTTCCATCAACGGCTGCTATTTCTTGAAGAAAAACTCTTCCCACATTATGTGAATTCTGAAGCGCATTGCACATATATAGTGGCCAGGATACTGAACAAGTGAGGAAAGAATTTTGGAAGAAAATTCATCTCTCAGGCATCCAGCTATATGAGATGCATTCTTTGCAATCAGTGTGCGCACCTTTCCACCCTCTAACTGGACCAGAAACAAGAAAGAGACTATTTTTTTTATGAGAATCCGAATTTCATTATTTAGATATAACTTTCATCTGAGATATCAGAGAGATTCTCACTTTCTTAGGTTGTGACAGCTTAAGGGAATAAAAGGGTCGCGTTTGGTTTAATGAGTCTCATTCGTGGGAATTGAGTTATTTTACTTCATAGGCACACAGGATGGAGAGAACCTGAAACTACACCATTTGTTGACACAGGGTTGCCATGGTAACCGGAGAGCCTCGTTAAATATGCAAAAACTCATTGAATGCCACAGCAGCTTTATTTTTCAACCAAATTGAGCCAGTTTGATGCATTTTGTAGAGAATAGCCCATTCTGTGCAACTAACCAGGAAAACCAACCACTTTTTGCTCCATAATTGAGTTTTAGCAGAAAAACAGTAAATTTCGAGAATTAGGATGTTAACATTTTCAGATTTTATCTAGAAAATTACAAATATACACACTTACTTCGATATTAATGGCTCATAGCACAATTCAATATGTCAACAGCATCCTTTCATAAATGCATCAGAAAGAATGAGAACTTTATGGATGTTGGAAGAAAGTTCCTTTCACGAAAACCACGAATCAAGTATAATGAAGTCAAAGAGGTCAAACATCACCTCAATGTGCTCTCACAAGTCCTGTTTTAAACGATATTTTGGTTTCAAAGTAATGTTGCAGAGAATCAATTTCTGAGCATTTCTGCACAAAAATTATGTTTCTAGTCCTAAAAGAACAGGAATTACGAGTGAATGAATTTGCGATTTAAAGGAGCATTTAAATCGCTAATTCAAACTTTGTAGTCAGTTTTATTCCTGATTTTAATCATAAATGTGATTTTTTCCCGGAAAAAAGTGGCTACTTTGTAAAACAATACTTAAATAATTTGCTGAAATTTCCGAGATTTTCATTTTTAGGGGGATGTTTGCTTTTCTTACTCCTTTACCCCCTTAAGTGCTGACGGTTTTACTTTTCCCTTTGGCTTATCTCTATTTTTATTGTTTTATAACCGAAAGCAACGATGATGAGCCGTGTCTAGGCAAATAAACCTGCCTACATGACCTACCTGTACAGTACATGAAGGTACTACATGCAAGGAAAGCTGATTTCCTTCGATAATGCTTTCTCAAATGTAAAGAGGAAGATACATAGAAAGTTGTGAAGTGGAAGAGAAATTTTCATCCCCCTTGCGGCTTTAGCTGCCCTTCGTGAAAATATTCATCTGCTGGGAGGGGCAGGGCAGATGAACACGCAGAGGAGACTGAGTAATGTATTCCATGAAGGATCTCAAGGTTTCGTGAGGTTCAGGTAATGATCGCCTCACGTGATATGTTAGCTATCGTGTATAGGCGATCCAACAAAGAACTTGAGCAAAATCCAGGATCTCTTTTGGAAGTGACAGTAGTTCCTCTCTGCGGAAATGGAAACTTTAATTTTTCATCCGGTCGAAAGGGAGGTGTGAATATTTCATCACTCTCCAGGGTGCTTGGTTGATTACAGGACGAACCACGAAGGAGTTCTTGATTAATGCATGTCGGGGGAAGAATTATTCCTGCTGTCTGGATAACCAGTTCAGTGGCAAAGGGAATGCCTCGTTCGTCTTTCTTCCTACGTAATCTCTCCTGCCTGCTACGCAGAAATCGGAGAGCAATGGTCGATCATCGCAGAGCCACAATTTCGACAGGAGCGTGACGCAGGAAAAATTTCCCTTGGAAAGGCAGATATTTACGACGTCATTTGGCACCCCATTTGCCAGTCTTATCAGGGTACTCTAGCGTCCGTGAGTCTGTCGTAATTGTGGGCATACAAGGAGACTGTGCATATGAGATACATTTCCAGCCTGCTTGGCCCATTACCCGCCGAGTCGAAAACAACATGCCCTAAATCCACGGGTCCCAATCGTTGCCAAGTCCCTCTTTGCCTCCACGAGGACGGATTGTGATACGAATTCGATCCCGTTTCGGATGTGATCATGTGATACATTTTAAAATTTCTCTTTCTTCCTCTTTCTTTTAGGCATCCGATACATGGAGGACTGCCCGAAGGAGCCCCACATCCCCATGTATCTGTTGGTGGGAGGATGTACATCTTTTCTCCTCCTTCTAGCCATACTTTACCGTCGGTTGAGATCCCGCCGGTTCGAGAGCGCGAGCCTGCTTCCCTCTTCGGGACTAGGATTCCACGACAGTTTCCACGTCTCCTCCGCCACGTCGAGGATCACCGTGGCCGCCGTCGCCATCTTCCTTCTCTTCTGGTTCATCATGGGCAACTACTGGGTGGTGGGGATCCATCCGCCCCCCTATGCTCCCACCCTTTTCGAACCGAACAATTGGTGCTCTCAGTCCCTGTACACGTTCACCCTGGTCCAGATCTCCCTCGTCTATGGCCTGGTCACCGTCTCCGCCCTAGTCATGATCTGCCTCGGTCTCTCCCATAAGATGTGCCTCTGCTGTGATCGCACCCAGACGTGACTCGATCGCGAAGCATCATCGTCATTGTCATGCAAGTAACATATCAATCGCGGAAATGCAAGGATCTGTTCAGGGGCATTTCACAGCCAGGGTGATCTCGTCAGGCATGCCCTGTACATTCATTTACAGTCGATGGCCCCTTTTCCCTCCCGTTATCATAGCTTAGTGCCAAGCAAGGTCTGGAACAAAAATTACCATCGTGGCCTCTTGGCGATTCGATTAATCACGATTGCCGTGCTTTGTTGAGTGGAGCAGAAGAAAGTTTAGTTTTGTAGATGAGACCCCTACGGTTCCAGGCTGTGTGCATTACTGACGGTTAATAAATGCAGCTTCTTGCTGTCCCGCGAATATCGATTCGTGAATCCCCGTGATAAGATAGGAGCATGCAAAACTCATTTCATCCCATCGACGTCATCCATCACACCACTGCGGTACTGTTCATCAAAGTAACGAATGTGTCTTATTTCCATGAACCTCATTACACATGCTTGTCACATTATTTGAATTTTCGGCGAACTTCATATTCTCCTAGACTTTACGGAAGAGGAGGACGGATGCGTCGGCTCGGTTTCAAGCTCCCAATCTTATAGACCTCCCCCCCCCCCTCCCCCATCCCCCCCCACTCTCACGACGGAAGGCGCTTGGCTCCCGAACAGCGTAAGATCGCGCCTCTAATGTCCAGTGGTAGTGAAATCTGGAGAAAATGAGAGAAATGCCTAGATTTGCTGCAAAGAAGGGGATAACGTCTCGTGGTGAATAGAGTTCCAGTTGAGAAGACACATCCGTCACTCAAATGATGCGTTTTTCCTTCGAACTCTTGAGGGTTTTCTCCAGATACAAAAGAGTACGAAAAAAGGATCCAGAAAAAGACACAGCTCAAGAGGATGCGGATTACAACACATCCTTTCAAATTCCACGCAAAGACTTCAATCTTAATGATTCTTCTCCGAGGAACCAAACATAATGGTCATTATTTTATTTTAAAAAACACGTATAAAATCGTATAAAATATGATGGCTTGAAGAAGAAGCTCATCGAAAGACTGCGTTGGAAATGAGTTTGCACTGCGTCGTGTCGCTGGAATCCGCCCTGAACAGGAAGCACAGACGGAGTCGTTTGCATTCCTCGTTGCATCTGCTCACGATCGGCGACGAAGATGAGGAATTGCTCACGTGTATCCTGGATGAAACAAGGCATGCAGCATTTACTACGTGAAATTCTGATGACAATAATAAGGACTACACATCCTGGCTCCATTCACTCGTTAAGGATGGGGGCCATTATGGGGCAATTTTGGCCCCGCAACCGATCTGTTTCATCGGTAGGAAAAGCAATAGGAATGGACATCAAGGGTTGAACAGAAAAACATATTTTAGACTTTCACATCGCTTCTTTATCGACAAAGAAAGGCTACAACACAGTAGCGAGAGGTACAAATTACAAGGTGATGAAATCATATCATCTGGAGCCTGCCACAACATTCCTATATTTTTAGAGCAGCGCAGAAATATCACCAAAGAAGCCTCGGAGGGTCAGCATGTAAATATGAACCAAGGTATATCACAGTTCTTGGGTAGGACTAACAATGCTTCTTCATCCATGCCGTATTTCTGCATGCTGCTGAGACTCAGATAGGTGCCAGTGATGTTTAAAAAAGTCACGCGAACAAGCAAAAGAATACCACTCTCAGCACTAGAATTAAATATCACTTGGGACATAAGCGAAAAACTTAATTTTTTTCTCAATTTCCTGCTCAACTGCATGACGATAGCCTTGGCAGATGTTCAAGTTCAAGGCAATCATTTCGCCTCATGAAACTCACTCTATGGTGAAATTTTGGTACATTTCTCCTTTGATGCAACCTCTCATGTGACACGATTGCTGAGATTCGCCCTCTGAATGATTTCAGTTATATTAATAGAAGAAAAAAATTCCCTAAGGCAGGATGAATCCGGTCTTAGAGATGTAGTTTTTCTCATGGGATGCCTAAGTTGATGGGAGTGGTGGGAAAGTCTACAGGCTGCCCCAGCTTTATTTGACCATTTTGATTCGGAATATTATACCTTTTTACTACTTCTCTCAGAAACTATCATGCTCCATCTCGTGTCCTTGATTCTGAAGAATAGCCCCCCAGCTTAATTCCTACTCTACCAGAGCTTTATGGAGCACAGCGATACTCAATTTCTTCCACTCCTCACTGATAACTTTCCAAAGTCCACCTCAAAGTTTTGCGCCAGCAAGTCACAAGGGCACGCTTCGGAATCCAAACCCTGTCCAGATAACGAAAACTCTGTTTTTGGCAGTAAATAGCATATTAGCATTCACGCGAGCGTGAAGCATAAAATGCGTGTTTAGGTCAGCCTTGCGGCTTAATAAGCCATAGTTCTCGAAGTGGCAGGTTGCAAATAAGAGGCTGAACGAAAAAGCTTTTCATGTTGGTACAGTAGTTTATATCGAATCGAAATAATGCTAAAGCTGAGCGGAAATTGACAACGAACACTTGGGGGACAGTAGAGGTGCATCTGGTCCGAGATGAAAATGATTGATCTGACGACTTTTTCCCTTGCAAGTTTCACAACTTCACAACAACAAAAAACAGAATCGCATCTATGTGGCTCACCTAGCGACCATCATGGTTTTGTAGAATACATATAATGCAGGGGTCGGAAACCTATGACTCATGAGCCTAATTTGGCTCACGAACCGAAAAGTTTGGCTCATTGGGGCATGGCTGAAAATCATGGTTGTATCTATTTTTTCTCATGTATCGAAGAATGCATGTGTCTCTTGCAAACTTCCGGAAAAATTATGTTGTTCTGAAAATATTTCGCTCATAAGCACTTGGCTCAATATTAATATGGCTCACATGACCAAAAAGGTTCCCGACCCCTGATCTAATGACTTTTCCATCCTTGGCAACTGTATCAATATTTGTTGTCAATGCGAATTCTCAAGACCGAGCAACTCACTTAAAGTAAAAGAGCTTAAAGACGAACTAGCGATTGCTGGCAGGCACCTGCTCATGCGCAATGTAGACGGTGAGGCCGACCTTCCTGCTGATGTATACTAGTATTCCTTGTGCTACGTGATATCCCTATGAATAGTCTATGAGTCATGGGAGACTTCCTGGTTCCGGTCTCCCATCATTTCCTTCTATTCCTCTCTCCCTCCCATCATTCCGGGCAGGAGTCAACTGTCAGAAACAGGGTTTCGTCCTTTTCGCGTCAATTGAGTGTGAACCTAATGGTTCCAAGAGAATTCCTTTAGATATGTTATGGATATTTTCAAGTCGAATGGGAAAGTGCGCGTATTCGTAAGAATTTTTTATGAAGTCGAGTCTCTCTTGCCCCTCTGACGAGTCACCACTGCTAGAATGGGACCCAAGCGCTGAACATGAAATAGTCAAGGCGAATCAAGCAACACTTTTTGGGTCCGGGTCCCAACATGCAAAATATTTACGTGTAGTAGAGGCACAGAAATTTCGAATTTAACTGATCGTTTCCATTCAGGCTGCACCATTGCAATCTAACTTCGGACAGATCTGAGAGGTGACGCGACGGTTCTGCCGATAGATTTACATGCACCTCCATCTAATTAAAGGTAAGAGAAAAACAAATGCTGTACCTGTCTCCCATACTCTGAGGGTGAAATCATACAAGGTTCGTCATGGACCCGTTACAGTTTAAAGCCAGTATGTATAAAGAAGATATAATGCACTGTAAGGAATTTCTTGACGCTCGTTTTGAGACATTTAAAAGGGGACACATAGATAGACTCACCGATGAAAATGCTGGAAGAGAACATCGTCCTCTGTCATTCTCCAGGTGAGACTCGCCCAAGACTTGGGTGAGAGATCCGGTAGTCCGAATGTTTCCTTAGCCTTGTATAGCAGGTACCAAGAGATTTCCCCAGCTGCGTTTGCTTCATCCAAGTTGAAGACCCACGTCTCATGGTCTAGAACCATCTGCAGGTATAACTCATGCAAATGAAATTTGATCCGGGGGTAGTGGCCAAATGAACGAATGAGACTTTAGATTAGGAGGACATTGACAATTACATGACACTGAGAAATTAACGGCTGAGTTGCGAAACAGACTATTCTGATAACTTTTTTTAGCGTCAAATGTTCTGAATAAAGCTGTTCATGGCTGTTCTACGACTAGATCGCTAATCCAGGAGATGCCTTGTTTTGCCTACTGGTGGGAATCTCAGAATTTTCCACAGAATGTGAGACAGCTGACGTGATGAGTTTTCTGAAAAGATTCCATTATATCAATACAATTTGTAATCAGCGACGAAGGAATAGTAAACAATAAGGTTAAAATGAATCAGGAAAGAAAAAGTGAGAAGGCATAAAACCAAGTGTCTCTTATGCCTACTTATGAACTTAGAAAATGAGATGGCCTATGTACAGATTAATGGACATAATTTCGACCTCGGTCAGCGCAAAATATCGCAAAGTTTCTTACATAGGATGGATTTCTTCGACTGGCGTCGGCATAGAAGACTCGATAAGCTGGGTTCAGGTGTGAGAACGGGGTAATACTTGGTCCTATGTATGCCATATTCACGGCTCTCTCTGGTCTTTCCTCATCGAAGAACACGTTATACTCCTCCATGTGCGTGTGACCGAAGAACTGACCTGTCACTGTGCTCTCATACCTGCAAGATTAAAACACAAGCACAATATTGGAAGAGATCCCGTATAGGTTTGATACCCCCAGATCTCGTTCTTTCATTTTAGGGCACGTGTACATTAGAATAAGAATTGGGATAGGAATTTTTTCCCACGACATCGAAGCAGCTTCATCATTCCTTCGTCATCATCCTGAGTTGGAAGATTTATTCCATGTAATACCTGTTGATAATACGACGATAATTGTAGCTCCAGGTCGGAAGACATTCCGTAGATCCGGGTGGGATGTGGCCGATTATCCATACCTTTTCTCCAGCCAGTTCCGATTGTTGGAGCTCTTTCACTAGCCAACTCAGGTGATCGTTTGGATCCGGAATATCCATCCATACGAACCTTATTCCAGAAAAATAAATCGCGACACGTTAAACCCAAATGCAACGAAGAATATCTTTTAAAATTCAAAATTAGGATGATAGAATGATTAAGTGATTTAATTTTATTCAAATTAAAAAAGCAGTAATAGGGCAAAAGAAAAAAATATTATAATAAAGGTTCGATCGGTGCCAGACCAATTGAAAGCGTAGCAGAAGTTGTTATTGATGGCGATGATTCGAAGTCCGGGTCGAGCCAAGACGGAATAGTATCCTCCGTGAAGAACATTTTCTTTTTGGTCTGCAGGTAGCCAGTCTTTCCAGAGATCCCATAGAGCCTCGTAGAGCCAGTCAACCGAAAAGTCTTCCTTTGGAATTGCATCTGGAGGGAATCTGGTGCGAAGAGGAATGGCATGGGTCGATGAGGAACTATCTCGAGGATCTTGTGAGGGTTCGAGTCTCTTTTTATATCGGGACGCTCATGGATTCGAACAGTGACGGGGCATTTTTACATAATTTATAGTTTTCACATTGAGATTCTTCTCATGGAATCTCCAAATTCCATTTGCTCAAGCTCCTTTACCCATCTTTCCTCCACCGTGGGAATAATTTAAATCCTAAAAACTCTATACAAGAAATGCATTTATTTTAGGAGTTTAAAAGTTTTAATCCACACTCATACGGTATTGAGCCTTGTTTGCGTATAAAAGTTAATCGACTTACTTAAGCCGAGCTGGATCCACGCAATCGCTTGATCCCGAAGAGAATCAGGATTAATAGGCTTGGTAGCTCGTATTTCCTTTCTTCAACCCCTTCCCGTTACACAATTCCACTTCCCTGAGAGCATCTGGAGGAACGAAATTGGGCATGCTTCGCACCATCACAACCCAGAATCGTTCCAGCAAATTTAAAGCTCCATCTCCCCAGGGTTGACAAGAACACAGAATCTGCCTTTTTGAAGATGTGAATCTCATTCCGGTATTCTTTTTTCTCTCCCCCCCCCCCCCCCCGGGTAGTACCTCCTGGGGTGTTTTCGGATGAGATGGCCCGACCAAATGAAAGGTATAGACTTGCAGAACGAGATGCGTACCCTTTGGGTTGTTGGTGATGCACCATTTTCATTTTTACAATGAAATTAGTTATATTTCATTTAGGCTAATCGTGTGGGTTCGAGTCCCACTCCCCACCGTTGCCGGATATCTAGGATTTGTCAGATTCATGACTGCTTCTGCTTTTGTATCGGTGCCTGGGTCTTCTGTTTTTTTATTATTATTATTACCCATCATACATTTAAGCCGAAGCTTGAGGGATGAGGTGAGAATGAAACGTTAATTAACGGTGGTCGATCAATGTTGTGCACGACCTTTTTTTTAGGGGGGGGGGTAAGCCCGCAAATTCCCTCCTCTCCGCATCCTCCATTGTGAATGACTGCTGAAAGTATGACCGCATGCAAGGTGTCCATGAAGAGTCCATGAGTAAGAAAATCTTTGGACAACTTTTTCATTGCTGAATCTGACTAGCTATCTGCAACCTCAGAGTACCGACACTTCTCCCCTCCAACCACTTTTTTTTTTACTGAGAGTTAACTTTTCATCGCCAAATGTTAGAAGATCCGTTTGTTCCACGATTGTCGAGGAACATATCAATATCAGTCGAGTTTTAACTTCGTGTGGTTACCAATAGAAGAGCAGCTTAAGCACGATGTCAGTTTGCCCAGCCCAAACAAGGGCCAGAGAAATTATTTCTCGGTAGTGCCAAAATGGAATGATAAAAGATGTGACGTCATCTTAGGACTACAGATAGTCTGCGCACGCAAAAGGTTATCTCAGATTCAATCTTAAATAGCTATCCATCGATAGTCACTTTGCGTACAATCTGGATTTAGCCGTCGTAGTACTCAAGAGCTAACTTTCACAGTGCTGCTCAAATTACCATGAACAATTAGCAATGCTCTCTCTCCATCTTGATTAAGCTTCTCTTTCTCATAATTTAGGAAAGGTGGCGAGCGTGTTAGGCCTTCCCTAGAAAACAGAAACTGGGAGTTGTTTTGGGCAACATGCACAGGAATACTTCTCAGATTTAACGGAAAATTAATACGATATATGGCGCATGCGACTGATACAGACACGGTCTGATACGACAGTTGGTGTCAATTGGAAAAAAAAACTCGAAAAGATGGTTTCAGTTCCTCTCGCAAAAAAATTAATAAATAAATTGTTTCAATGCCAATGGAATTTTGGCGTGAGGGATTATGTGATCCAGAATGTTGCATTTAAACAGAAGGAATGAACTACTTGAAATTACTATTTTCAAATTATTGCTCACGATTTCTTCTCGAATACCTCTCGAACCCATCGCTCATGACAGACTGTACTTGAAGAGTGTCTCACATGTTCACAGGGTAGGACTCGTGATTGCCGACGACGGGAAAGACGGGCACATTAGCGAAATATTTTTTCATGAGCAGTGTCGTCAAAGTAATAACTTGGAGGGTATTTCGCATGGTCTGTTTCCAGTTGTCGTGAGGAGGTTGATCTCCCGTCCAAATCACGAAAGCCACATCCTGTGCAAGTACAACATCAACTCTACTAATTCCAATTGAAAATCAAAGGTTCTATACATATATATGCTTTGAATAAAATCCAAAATAATTTGCAGGAAAACTAAATACAGAGATTGCGAAATAATATCTGCAGGGTGTCCCAGATTTCCTTTCACCTGTGGCACTAAATGTTTTACTTAGTTGTTCTCGCTCTTTATGTTGTACAGTTTCGTTTGTGTGTAATACTAATGTGCTTATGCCATGCTTCTTTATTTTGCATAACTATTGGGGAATTTGAGCTCCCGTTTTGAATATGTTCTAAACATTCAAGTGCCCAGTTAAAAATGCGACAGGTATTCTGGAACACTGCACATTCCGCAGAAATATTATTCAATATTCAAAAGCATGATGTACGGGCTATAATTTGTATTTGGTGGCAATAAAATGGTTCATTATGGAAAGCTTATTGAAGATTCAGCGTGAACTTTTTCGGAGTTGCCTTTTTTCCGGTAATCGGTGAGGGTCACTCATTCCAATGCTCATGGATGTCCCTGTCAGCCCCCTATAAATTTTAAAACCCGAATGTGCATAAACTTTAAATGAACCGAAGAACATGTCTTATAAAGGGTAGCATTTTAAAGTATTAGAAATAATTCGCGGTAGAGATGTTGTGCAGATATGGGACTTTCTACGTTCTTCATTCGTTGGCCGAACGTTTTCGGAGGTCCATCATTGTGACTTCATTTCGGAGAATCCGCAAGGTACGGCTGCCGCATAAACCACGGTTCTCTTTTCGGATCGCCAACGCTTGAATTTGACAAAGATTCGAACGTACAGTATAGGCATGCTTGTCTGCAGCAGGAGTTCTCCGAAAAGAAAAAGCAACCTGGCGCGGCTATCACTAGGGGAACACGAAGAGCGCCTTGGCATTCAAATAGAGGTGCGCCATGCAAATCGTGTGGACCAGTCAGATGCAAAGTGGCCTTGTAGATGAAATATCTCCACTAGAGGTGGAGATTTCGGTAAGCGTTTCGACTGCAAGATTTGGATGTTACAACCACAATTTCTTTCCAGCATTGTCGTAAGATGAGTGTTTTCTGGAGAAAAACAAAATGGTTGTAGCATCTGTACCGATGCAGCAGAAGTCTCATCCTATTAGGTCAACATAGAAAAGAACCAATGCTTGGCAGGAAAACTTAAACTCAATTCAATTTTTGAGAATATCAGCCCTGAATTTGGGGCCAAAACATCCCTAATCGATACTCACGATATCCTCTGCGTCTTACAGGGTGACTAGAAGAAGCATGTTGTAAGGTCTCCTTGATCGTGATCAAAGGGACATCGCAGTCCCTATAATCCCCGAACTTCCCGGCGGCGTCTTCGGGCTTCGAGGCGGGTCCGCTCGAAGCCTGGCAGCAGAGATGCCGACCGCAATTCGCATTGGCTCCTTCCTTGTATTCGGGGTCGAAGTGGGTATCCGTCAGGTGGAGAACCTTCAGTTCAGTCCCATCCCCCTGCATTTCCATCGGAATAATTGTCAAAGAGATACATCGGTCCCATCGATCGGATGAACTTCTCGAGCATATCCCCCGTACATATAAGTGACTAGCAGAGGTACCTGGCGTTGCACGGGTGAATATTGTATAGGTCTCATTTTTCATATTTGTCTGCACTAAATATGGTACCCTGGGGCAGGGCCGGATTTAGGGGCAGGCGACCCTGGCGACCGCCCGGGGCGGGGGAAGACACACCTCACCAGGGGCCCCATTTGATCTGGGGCCGGCCCTGCCACGGGTGGTCCGAATTTTGAAACGCCACCTAGCCTATGACCAACCCAGGACCAAATGAGGAAGCCATGCAAAGTTTGATCAGACAGAGATCAGAGGCATGGCCGTGCATAAAGGACAAACACTCTGAAATATAGTACTGTATAGATTAGCTTCCAAAACAAGTTCGATCGTCCACGTATAAACCTTCATTCCAACTATGAAGACCGAGTGAAGACCGATGCAAGACTGGGGTCATCTTGAAGCACAAAAGACGTAATAATCAACATCAAAATTAATCATATTTCCAGCCCAATATTAAGGAGTACCATATGAAATGAGCTTTGAGATCCAGGTTGAGGAAAACTAAGTCTCTTTGCTTATGAATTTAGGATACATTTTCTTGATTTTTCGTGCATTTGAAACCCTGAATTCTGAAAGGGAGGTTTAAAGATTCTACAATTCGTGAATAAATTATTCATAATCCGAAATAAAATCCTCTCTCAAAAGTCATCGCTTAAAGGGTTAATCAGCCACGAGGTCGACCAAATGGAGCTTTCATTTAAAAATCTCTTTGAAAGTTGAACGAGATCAATTTCATGGCCATCTGGGTCCCATAAGACCCTGGAATGGTGGGAAGCCTACCCGATGTTGAGTGTTTGATCTGGGCTTGGGATACTCGGACAAGGGGATGATCCATCTCTTTCCAGTTTCCTCGAGCTGGCAGTCGCTGTTCAATACGCTATTGCAGAAGAGTTCCATGTCGATGTCGCGTTTCTCGATGATGTAGTAAAAGATGGGCTTCAAAAATAAAATTTCAAAAGCGGTCAGACGCAACGTGTGAAACAAAGAGATGAGATATAAGGTCAAAGAAAAAGGTACAGAGCATGCTGTGCCGTGAACAAAAAAAACTAGCTCATCTCGGAAATCTTTTTCAATGTGCTTCAAAGTTAATTTTGCGGATTGAATTTTCCTGGAATCGTGGAAAGAGGATGAAACTTAGCAATACGAAAGAGGAAGGAAGGCAGGGACTAAAACCCCAGGGATTTCGTCCTTGCGATGAACCGAGTGAGAAAAATCTCCTGTTTGCGCCAGGCTTTTCACAATTCCCGCAGTGGAAAGTATAAGGCGTCGACACTGTTTCTTTGGCATTTATGGCACCCATTTTGTGGATTTCGACACGTCGGGTCTTTCACACGAAGCATTACATCGGATTCGGGGACTTTGCGAGAATGAGAAGAGGAAAGCTTCTTATCGGCCTGTGTGCGGGGTGAATGATGAGTTCGCTCCTCCGTGATCGTCTTCGATATCTCTTTTTATTTCCTGTAGATGATGTAAATGCCACATTTTCCATGGCCGACTCCTCTTCTTTAACCCTTTCCCCGTTCTCATGACGCATACGTCATCGCGGTTCTCGGGGGCTTCCGCGTTACTGCGCCCTATACGAAATCTCTCGTCTCGGACATTTCCTGTTGCTTTCACGTCGACGGGACGAAAGAGAGATCCTGGGACAAGCATATACATATGCCTGAATTCCTTGCTTAAATGAAAGGAATACCGCGCAATCAGCCGCCTTCATGCACTCCCCCCAAAAAGTCATCCTGACAAGGGGATGAGCGCAAGAAAACTGACCGGTGAAAGGGTTCAACGTGCAACTTGTGTCATCCCTTTGCATATTCACGACCAGAGGCACTCGTTGAAAAAAAAAGCAATAACGCGTTCAGACACCATGCAATTCCCATGAATACGCATCGACTCTGCCACTTCGAAACCTTACATCTTCTATACTCCTGCCCGTAGAAATGAAAAATTTTCAAGTGCCTTCGCTGTAGACATCGATCGGAATCCTGAAAATCAATCGACCTGCGCGTCGGCAATAAAATGACGATATGTTAACATACACGACGGTAAGTTCTATACAAGTAAGGAAAACGTGAAGATGAACCGACTGTGAACTGGGAGAGGTATCCGTCACAGACTTCCTTCATTTGACCGACAGCCTCGCAGATGCTCGAGATGATGAGCTTCGTGGCGGGAATCGGGAATCCGACCCTGATGACCCGAACCAAGACTTTCATCGCCGCCGTGCAAACGATGCAAGGGATCTTGAACGAGGAGCCGAAAGCAGGGAATGCCACTTGTTCCACCTGCTCCTCCACCGCGTTGAAGGAGATGGAACGAGGAAGACCCTCGGCGAGGAGGGCTTGGTAGAAGGACTTCATCGTGTCCCCATCGCTCTCCGCAGCAGACAAGAGGTAACTCCCTTCCCAGCATCCGGTTTCAGTTTCGGGCCTGCCCTCACCTTCACCGAAAAAATTTTCTTATTTCGCATGAATATCGTCCATTTGAGCTTGGCATCGCAGTTAAGATATTTTAAATAATTTTCTCAGCTGCAATTTATATCAGATTTCCCCCTTCCGAGTCCATGGCCGTATAAGAGGTTCACCTAAGAGCTGGCAAGGCGCTCATGAGAATAGGACCATTAAGGGTTGAAGACAGAAAGCCATCTCTTTCGACTCAACTCCTTCTGATACTGTGACAGTTAAGCACGTGCTTTCTGGAGTTAGTAGCAGAAATACTAGAGCAAAAATTGCTAGCCAGTATGGATGAGCTTATCTAGCAAAAGAATTCCGGTGGAAATGGCGTAAAGCAGGCATAGAAGTGTTTCACCGGGCAATACCTGCCCAGATAAGCTAGGCATGAACCATGACCGAAGGCACGCACTTCTATCCAGCAATTCTAGCCTGCAGTAACCCTTGAGCTCCTCAAGAATAGTTTTCACCATGTTTGGAAAAGTGCAACGATTCAAATCGCCTGCCAGAAACGTTTCATTTTAGAATATTTTGCTTATAACGAAAGAGCATTACAGAGGTCTTTATGCATTCCAAGTCAGAATAGGCTGTCCTTGGAGGAATATGACGAAAATTAGATTATACTGTTCTGGCAAGTTGAAAGAGAAACCTTGCATCTACTATACAGTGTGTCCTAAAAGTTACTTCATCCCATCTGTTTCCCTCGCAATATGAAGTGGTTCATATTTCAAGAAGTTGGTTCACCACCAACAGGTATATAGCTGCATAGAATCATGCATGTCACGATCGTCTATATATATTAGATTATTCGCTTCGTTTGCAGCATATTCAAAAGAGAAATTTGAACAAAACCAATGCAAAAAGACTTTGATGTGACCAAAGCACAAGGAATGTGGAATCTCATCGATATTGTAACTTGACGCAGAAAGTGACCGATGTGATCGCTCGTTAGTGCTCATGTCACTTCACGACACCTTTCTAAAGAAAACGTATTTTTGGGTCGTTGGGTTCATGCATGGAGAAATTGAGACATGTCTGTCGCATATTGGACCTTGGCTAGAAACTATTCAGATACCAAGAAGAAAACGGTGTCATACGAGCCACTGCGTTCATTCACGGGAAAACTCTTATTTTATATTTATCAGGTTGTAAAGGTGAAATTTAGACATTTCGATTTTTTCTAGAAAAATCTGGAAAATGTTAGAACTTTCTATGTAGTAGAGTGACCAGTGGGCATTGTGGGCGTGAGTGCTTATCGTGATTGATATTGATGGTGATTACCTGCAAGACTGAACTCTAGACGTTGTTGAGTTAATTGTCAATAAATTGTTTTCTGGAAAATGTCTAAATTTCACCTTTACAACCTGATATAATGTATAAGGTGCAATCGAGAAGTTCTCATCTCTAATTTCTTTCTGGAAAACTAGGAATGCTACGCTGTTGAGCTCTCTCACAATTTTCAAGAGTTGTCGCAATTTTTGGAAAGCAGAAAAAAAGCTTGTTCAGGAGTATATTGTAAATCGCACTGAAGAATCGCTTACCCATACCAGATTGACTGAGGAATATTTGTCCACGGTAGCAATTCTTTTCCACAATGCACATGTACATACACGTAACGTGAAGACTTGCCAGTCAGGAATGATAGTCCGCGATTTTCTCCCCTATTGAGTCACGAAGTGCATCACATCGAACAGTTGTTTTTTACTACCCTCATCCATTTTCATTTATGCTTGAATCATATAACTCACTATTAATGGATAAAATACAAGCAAATAATAATGAAAAATATAGAATGTGTGCAATCAACAAATACATAATGTAATTAGTATCTGTTTCTACCATTTAAGCGGCATCGAGAAAATAGAGGACAAGAAAATTTTGAATATTCTTTATATGACAATTTTAAGAGAACCGATCGTGTCAGGTGGCAGCAAATGACTTGGATTCAGCCTGGAGGTTTACCGTAGATCTCGGCCCTCGTAGGGGAAAAGGAATCGATACCTCCTGTATCGTCCAATTACATGTAAACAGAGCGATTTTCTTCCGTTCTTGGTACCGTTCGATCGCTGGTTGTGAATTTTACGATGACGTGGCTTACCGAATCTGGTGCAGGCGGCGAGGACGAAGACGGAGACGACCAGCTGTTCACTAAAATGCATCATCACTTCTGCTAAGCATGGACGCTTTCACAACCTAGAAATATTTCAATACGTTCAAAGAAGTCTGGATTCCATTGGCGCGAGACGCGACCTCTTCGAAGTCGAAATCTCAACTATCTCGTCTTAAGATCTTAGAGATGGGGGAATCCTAGTGGATGTAATGGGAGAAAGGAGGGATCGGGAAGATGAGGACCCGTCAATCCTATCTCTCAGCGCCACGAACAACATTTACAGTACTTCGCTGCGCTTACGTCGATAAGCACATTAGATAGGATGATGCCCCGAAGGAAGTGAAGGGAAATAACTGGAATCCACTGTTTTCGTCTCACTTCACTTGCGCATAGTCATAGTGAAAGAGAAACCGGATGAATATCTCGGCATTCCATTTCACGCACAGTCTTACGAAATCCGTTTTCGTGCATCGTTTCTTTCGCTTTCCCACTTACATAATTTGCCCCATGAAATTCAATATCTTTATGTGCCACGTCATATGCTACTTTCTCTATCCTCATTTATCGTGTGCTTTGTCCATAAGTCAGTTCGTGCCATTAGTATAGGTGTCATTTCAATCTCATTCTAGTTTAAGTCCCTTTTCGGTTCATTCCCAGTTAGCGGGAGTTCTCTGAACCGAAGATTAATTCCAATTTCATACCGTCTTATTGTGTTTCCGTTAACTTGAGATATGTTGAAGCTGCGCCAGAATTAAGCTGAATATGTAGGTTATTGGCATCCGTACTTGGGAGTTCTTGGAAGTTTCGCTCCTAAATCACTGGGACCGTAAACGTAAGGGTCAATAGGGACGGAATTCATCATAATGACGTCACGAGTTTCAGCTCCGTCTCCATTCTGAAGAGATGACTGTCGCGCCTGCTGGACCATCACCCTATCACGACATCCCGCCGGTACGAGGTGAGCTGTCGTGGCTGTGCAGGATACCGCACCTCAGATCTCTCGTTTGCTCTGATATCGATGAGACACATGAGGCTTCCGATGTTCCCACTGCTGTCGACGAGCTATCGAGAATAACTTATGAAAAATATTAATCCCATAAATTGTGCCCAATATAATTGTTCTAATTTTAATCAGCTCATAGTTCCCTCCTTATGCATGTACATGGCGACAAAAACTAACTCGACTGATATTCGCATTATGAATGTGGAACATCCGTCCCATCAAATCGATTTCATATCCGTCAGAAATATCTGTTTTCCGCGTGATTATGATTGGTTACTCCAATGGTTAACCTTCATGACGGGAGCTTGAATATCGGATTACCTCCCTTCCTCCCCCCTGGATACTCCTATGGGAATGCACTTTAAGAGCATTGTATATCAGACAAATTGAAGGAAAAAATTCCTGAAAAACCGGATGGAAGTTGGGACTACCACGTCTCCCCTATGTTTGCCTTTCCTTCAATCGCTGGCACCTCGATTGTCTTGAATTTCCACAGCATTTCTTGCACCCATATGAAAAGAGATCGACTGCGGAGATTGGAACCTGCCCCAATATAGTCCCAAGACAGAAGTCGTCATTCGCGACATCTAGCTCGACGCGAAAAAGGAATGATGGAACTTTCTCGCCACTGTCGCCTCTTCGAAGCCGGTTCCAATACATCCACCCCGACTGTGGTGCATCGCTTGACTTCGACGTGTCATCGATATATCCCAATGCATTGTGAAAGTCGAGTCAATTGGAAAAAGTAGTCATTAGTCAATGAATGAAATTCTTCTCGAAGGATTTATTATGTTCCGTATATTGAAAATGCACAAGTTGCCAACCGTTCGCTATATTTTAAAATCAGTGAAATTTATATGAAGTACAGGCTAGCACAAGGTATTGTGGGCGTAATCGACCAGTAGCAGCAAGCCATACAACATACGCAATGTTTCTTTATAAACTGAAATCAAAATCACGTGATATTATTTCACAATTATCGGCCTGGTCATTTCTGTTTATTTCCATACTTAGTGCATGAATTCATTTTATTCCTGGGCATGCCGTAGCAAAGTCATTCTCCATTCTCCTTTCACGCTCCTGAAGATATTGGCTTGCTCCTATGGCTGCACTGATGAAGAGTGCATATCATTATTAGTAACTTATATCTTTTTTAAAATCCATATACTAATTAAAATAATAAATGTCTAAATTACGAAATTCTGAGACGCTTATTTATCGAATGCCTATGCGAACGAGGTATTGTCACGAATTCAAGTGGAGTGGTTGGTGGATGGGGCCAGGGCATGTTTGTTAAGCCATGTAATGGCAACAGCCCCAGCGGCGTGCAGAGTGCGAAGGCCATCATGGAGGCAAGTCATTGGGTAGTCATCAACTATGTGCGACATTGTCTGCAGCACTGAGACGTGATTCCGAAATAGTAAATTAAAATTAGAGATAGAAACGAACACTTCTCGGGCGTGGATACCCCTAGCCAAGTTAGACGTGGGGGGAAGGGGGGAAGGGAGGAAGGGAGGAAGGGGGGAAGGAGACGTATACTTGGGGACCCCTCCCTGTCTCCTTTAAGTGGTCCTCTCCCTCCACTCTCCCCTTCCGATCTCCCATCAAGCGCGTAATTAGATCGACCTCTGTTTCTTGTCCTTGCCCTTGTCATTGGGAGGAGGGAAGGAAATCGCTCTAGGACAATCTTCGGCAAGTAGGCATTCAAAAAATTATTATAATCGGCTTTTATCAAGCTGAAGCATTTCAGTTGCTAAGGAAATCGAATAGTATTTTTTCGGTGAGATGAGATGAAACCATCCCTTGATGACTCTTCATGCGGGTAACTGGGATCGCATGAGAACCTTATGCATTAGTTGTCCATTATGTCTGAGAAATATCCTAATTTCCATAATGGTGAGACCTCACGCAATTCCCTTGTTCTCCTCTGTCTCAATGACAGTCATTAAATATTAACCGCTATGAGGAAGGGAACTTTGAGGAAGGGAAGCTTGCTCCAAAAAAAAAGAGAAAACGCAGTATTCTGCACTGTGTTGTTTTCCCGTTGCCATGGTGACGAACGAAGTGCATATATGTCCTCCTCAAGTTGTCTCCGCCGTGGAAGTTGAACTCCCATGAAAATTCACGATGCGAGTTGAACTTGTTCAGCCTCATCGTGCTGGATGCACACTCCATTATTGCATGCATTTTCAGCATACACGTATGCAAGTTATGTACTCTGTTCATGTTAAAGTTGATCGTGCATTTCCACGCAAGTTTGGAGAAGCCTTTCATTTCGGCCAGGAGGATCATCGAGAGGCTACATCTTATCCTTATATACCTACTTTTGCTTTTTCTTCGGCGAAGTCTTTCGGAGCACGTGTACGACTTGCAGAATCGAGAAGGACATAGCGTAGTCTGACAAATGTCTCATCTAACAAAAAGGGAAATATGCAATTTCAAACATTTACTGGGAGCGGGGGGAAATTCCCCCCTTTGGATTGCAGAATTGTTATTGCGGAGTGGTGAACTTGGCACCGGGAAGCTGAGTATCAGGTCTCTTCCAAAAATAAAAAAGGAAGGGGGGGGGGGGGTGGAGAACATTCGTCAATTAATATTCTTCATTCTGAAACAAATTGGGAATTCTCGCTCTTCTTGAAATGTTCACAACTGCACAACCGCCCAACTTCACTTTCCCTACCTGTATTGCAACACCCTCCCGCCTACCGCAGACAAAAAGACAGCGTCTCTCCATTTGTGCGCATTCTGAAACGACTCAGCATCCCTCGCGATTATAAACATCATGAGTTCAGCTAGACGTTATTGAGAAACGTTGCGACAAAAGCTGCGACCCCCTTTGAGGAAATCCGAAATGACGTGGGACATCTTTTGTTTAAAGCTATCTTAACTTAATGCCATCCAGGTAATATTCGACAAGATTTAAATTTTTTGCTTCCCTGAATAGGAACTGGGACACTCACAACATGCATTATTCAACGGATGGAAAGACAAGTATCGCTTCCGTTCCGTCTTGCGCGCATTCGTACTGAAGACTGACAGGATCGAAGAGGGTTTCATCTCGCAAATTGAGACGAGACGCGCTAGTAACACATCGCCTCTGCTTGTTCTCGGAGCGGCAGAGAAATTGGATTTTGCCTTTATCTATCTCGAGGGAACTAAGACGGACAGATAGCAGTAGTACCACCAATTTCCCTATTGCAAACGTCACTTTGAGTAGTTGGGCCCTTTCCTACAACGGCTGTCATCATCAGTAGGACTGTCGATGATTGCTGATGACCGAGAGCGGCGATTTTTTTTAAAGCAAATCAAGGGGCGCAGAGACTGTTTCTTAGCTGACTGTAGACCACTTCCTTCAATGGAGAATTTTGGCTCAAAAGCCAAAAGCGTTCTCTCCCTAAGCACGACTCGCCAAACTCAATTCACCGACTAAAA